GAGAGAGAGAGAGAGAGAGAGAGAGAGAGAGAGAGAGAGAGAGAGAGAGAGAGAGAGAGAGAGAGAGAGAGAGAGAGAGAAAAAAAAGAGAGAGATAGAGCCAAATAGAGAGAGAGACAGGGAGAGTCAGACAAAGAGAGATGAGAAAGGGAGATAGAATGAGAGAGAGAACGCACCTTTTCCTTCTTTGATTTACAACTGTTGTTGGAAACAATGGCCCAAGCGACTTGGTTGATGATCTCAAACCGCAATACGACGACGCGTGTCGCGAAGCGTGAAAAGGGAGGTGCCGAAGCGTGAGAGGGCAAAACCGCGAATGGAGACGTAGGCGATTGCGACGCGAAGGAGATGGCGAGGCGAGGGATATGGCGACGAGGGAGAGAGAGAGAAGCGAGGTAGACGGTGATGAGATGGCTGTGTCGCTGGCAAGGGCGGGTGGTCCTGGCGCGCGACGGGCATTTTCGGCCGTGAGGGTTGGCGACACCTGCGATTGCCTGCTGCTTCAGACGATTGCAATGCCCACCTGCAAATTCGCAGAATGGCGCCACCGTCATTTGAATGGCGGATACATCCGCGCGGGGCCCAAGAAACAAAAGTGGGCGGGAAAAGTCACTCCGGATGACGCATTGGAGCCGTCGATATCACGGTAAAATCCGCATGGGTCCTGATAATCAAAAGTGGGCGGAAAAGTTTGCGCCGGATGATGCGTTGGGACCGTCGATAGAATGGTGAAAAAAGGCCAGTCCTCTCGAAATCACCGCCTGCCCTCCCACGACGGTTTCGGATCGGGCGATTTCGTGAGGACAGTCCGTCAAAAAAGGGACCGCCTGATGTCACAGCCCCCGACCCGGCAGTCCGCCATTACTGACCCAGCGGCGGGCAGTTGAAGGGCCCCTCAAGCCCCACTCACTCCACTCACCATTCTCCTGTCGGGCACCAAACGAATGGGGGTGGCTGTCACACCCATTCGCTGGTGTCATTTCTTTCGTGTGCTGCCTTTGCGATGCGTCCGCCATCGCTCAAAGTCGTCGGCTTCATATCGCAGGCCCCTTGCGCATCCAGGCCCTCGTTCATCCAGCAATCGTCGACAGCGGGGGGCGCTAATGAAAACGTCACGCGATTGTAGACCTTGCGCGTCGTCCCGTTCGCGCTGTGCTCTTCTTGTGTCGGCTGGAGGCGTTTGTCGACTCGCAGGTCAGTAAGAAGCCCACGCCCCCTGCTCGGCCCCTTCACCATTTCAAGCCCCCACCTCTTCCCATTGCCCTTCCGCTCCTTCAACCGTGCAAGTCTTGTTCTCTGCCACCACCTGCTCCGCCAATCACGCGCCCACGATCTTGAGTGCACAACGTCCATCGATCACAACCACGGAAGACCCCATGCAGTGATACACGCTGACGTCATCATCTTGCACATGACGTCAGCGACGGACAATGGCTTGCGACTTTCACAGTCATCGCTCTCGAGTCTTGACGTCCTCAACATCGTTTGTTGGCATCCTCAACATCACCCTCGATTCTTGGCGCCCTCCGACGACCGCATCTGACACGTGGAGAAAGTCGCATCGCCCTCAAGTCTTGGCGTCCTAAACATCGCTTGTTGGTACACTTTCTTGGACCCTGGCTCGAGGGTCGTCTTCCGCCTAGTCTACTCAGGATATCGCAATGCAATCGATCGTGCGAGTCTTCTTCTACATCACTGCCTGGTCCGTCAATCACGCACGAGTCGACATGCGCGCGATCTTGAGTCCACGATGTCCGCAGCTCACAACCACGAAAGTTCCCTTCCACTGACACACACTGATGTCACCATCTTGCGCATAACGTTTGGAATTCGAAATGGCTTGCGGCTTTCGCAGTCAAGATCGTCGGACGCCTCCGACGACCGCATCTGACGCGTGGACAAAGTTTCATCGTCGTTGCTCCCTGGCGTCCTCAAGATCGCGATATGTGATCACCGCTGCGATAACACATCATCCGATAGACGTCAACACCGGAGACGTCATCTGAAAAATCGCGTGTGGATCGACTTTCAGATCCCGTCCATCCATCTCTGGTGCTGAGGTCTATCGGATGATGTGTTATCGCAGCGCTGATCACATCATCCTATGTCCCCGATAGCTGGAAGCCTCATGACAAACGCGCACCTCCAACAGGAATCGCACGTATCGCACGCACAGCCAACAATGGCAAAGCCACCCATCCACAACGTTCAACGACGCCACGTTGCGCACAACGGATACCCATGGCGAATCCGAAACATCCCACATTACCGTCCATCCCGCGACATCCCACCGCCAAGGGCTAACTTCGAGCTCGTTTCCRATCGACTCGGTGATTGAACATGTCCATCGCGGTTGTGGACGACATCAGGATCTTTTTCTTGTTGTCTTGAACGTTCCCTGTCTCATCGCCCGTTCTCACACACGCAGCTAGCAATGAGGAACCGCCACGCAACCGGGCGCGAGACGTCGACCACGCATCGGCAACATTTTGGATATGGAACTAGCGCTTACAAGAATACGTCACAGCACCGCCGCCCATGCGGCAGCCCGTCCCCTCGCCACAATTCGTTTTGGGCAAACTCTGACGTGGACAATCCTCGCGACGGTTACAGTCTCGAAATCTGAGATGAATGAACGCACCAATGACCTCGTGGAACGATCAACTCTCGGTCCACACCGATCACATTTCAATTCCAATTAATCGCAGCCGCGTTTTCCAGAGCAGCTTAGGGAGGTGTGCACAGGATTGCAGCGGGAGTGAGAGAGTGCTATTCGTGCCACTTATTCCGGATGGAGTTCGGATTCATCCGAGCTCGGGATGAAGGCAATAGACGATGTCATTTGCGATGCCAGTGGTTGGATGACTATGCCCCCCTTACATGCGACCCATTGTTTTCACGCAACGTCCCCCCATCAAAAGTTTTGAGGCGACCCCCTGTCCATGACAACCCGCCACTCATGACTTTTGTCTGTGTTCTTTGTCTCTCAGGAAGGGTTATGCAATTCTTAGGCTGGACGTTTTTGTTTCGCCTCACTACGGAACGTGTGATGTAGTTTGGATGAATCCGAACCACAACCCTCGGCTCGTGGGAAGTCTCAACGGGAACCGCATCCCTCTGATGTCTCAGTGGAAGGGACAACGACGCCACAGGGGATCGCTTTCGAAGTAAACATCTGCACAAATCATGACTCCGATAGCTCCCCAAATGCTTTTGCCTTCGTTTGTAGCTCGGATGAATCCGAACCACAACCACAGACGACTGACGGACGACAGTCGTGGCTTTTGTCAGTGTTTATTTCTTCCGCATTGGATAGTGCAACACTCGCATATGACTTATCAGTTCCGCGTCACTCCTAAACGTGTGATGTAGCTTGGATCAATCCGAACCACATCCCTCATCGCATCGGGAGTCCCGAGGTGAGTATCACGCCCAGTGACGGAATGTCTCATCGGGAAAGGAAAACGACGGCACACACCACGCGTCCTGAATGCAACATACAATAACCGAAGGTGGACACTCATGGCATTTGTTGTTGATTTTTCCTTCCGTGCGGCGAAATGTGAACATTTCGCAGGACGTCTGGGTACCGCCTGTCTGAAACCGTTTGTCGTGGTCCGGATTAATCCGAACCTCATAGCTCGACGGCAATAGAGTCTGATTTGTCCGCCACATCGCGCAGGCAGGTCTCATGAACTGGGGATGGCACTCTTGGCTTTTGTCTGAGTTGTTTTCTTGCACATGGGGCAGTAATGCAAACATCGCAAAGAACGTGTTGCTTCCTACTGGCTCCGCCTTCGATTCCAGGGGTGTCTCATCCTTCTGCCACATCCCACCGAGTGAGGCAAGGTCGCTGGGCGGTGGCTCGGATAAATCCGAGCCACAGATGGTCGCACGATATCCAATTTAATGTCTATCTTTCCGGGGCGGTTGCTCGGATTGATCTGAACCACGGATTGGTAGGCTTGGATGAGCTTCTGTCTAGGACTTCTGTTGGCGGGTGGCTCGGATTGATCCGAGCCTCGGATCCGGGGCGGGGCGGTAGGCTTGCATGAGCTTCTGTCTTGCACTTCTGTTCATCTCGTATTCAGAATGACAGTGGTAGGTAGAGTTTGTGCTTTCATGGCTCTGCGAAAAGTACTTGATATATCGACTGTGCAAAAATGTCTTCTGTAGATGAGGGGGTGTAATGTGGCTGTCCGGCGTCGGTGTGCTGTTTCATTCCTCCCCCAGAAATACAGAAACGGATGTTTTGCAAACGACCGTGAGGGTCGTCCGACTGTTCTATCCGTCTCAATGTGCTTTACGGCGTTGGTTTTAATAATTTTAGGAAATCCCGCATCTGCTCTGGAACGGGTCCCTGCATGACTTTTAGAAAACACTCCATTGGCTTGGTGAACTTCTGATTGATGACCTTCTGTAAGGGCTTTGCAATGCGATGTGGAAATATTTTTTTTTTAGACGATTTCCGATTGACAGCCTTCTCTAAGGGCTTCACCGATAAAAAAGTGTTGGGCGTTACAACTGGGTGTGGGCCTCGTCGGGGAAACTATCGTTCACCGACATTGTTTACGACAGTCTCCTCTTCCGTATGTCTATCCATGTGTTCGTGTTGTGTAGGGAGTTTAATGTCGTCGAGTTCTTCAACAAGCATAGCCATGACACCCGAGAAGCACATGCGCTTAGCGAAACCCTTTCCACCTTGTGCGAGATCGTTGCGGCATCATGACGGTCAAACGTGGATCGACGATGCAACCGAGGACGACTTCGAGGACGACCCATGGACGACCGTCGTCCCTTACATGAACTGTCATCTCGACGAATGGAACGAAAATGACTGGAAGGCGATGGAGCGTTCCCGCCCATGGGCAAACCATTACAAGTTTGCCAACATGTTGGAGTTCGGGACCCTCATTGCACTGCCTGATGGTGTCCTCCATCAAAAGACCCTGGACGATAAGGGTAAACCGCTTTCGTATCAGCTTCAGATGTCACCTCCACTGCGAGTACATCACATCTTCGCCACGAACTTCGGGAAGTTCGCAAAAGCAAGAGTTGGTCGACTGCGCTCGTCATTGTTCATTCTTGGAACGTTACCCACCCCATTGCCCAGGGACTTCTTTACAAGCTCTGTCGTACTGTTGTGTGCGGTTGACGGATGACGGATGTCCTCCTTTCGCCAGAGTGCTATGTGTGGCTTCTTCAAGCAAAAGTAGGAAACTTGTGGATGCAGTTGTGCTTGTGTCACGCAACGAGATGGTGCTTCAGGGATCCAAGTTCAAGGTGGTCATGTCTCGCCCAGATGTAGATGGGCGGTCAGACTTGGTGAGAGCAGGTCAGGTAAGAGTTTTTTTGTCATTGTCGGATGATGTGGAAAAGAAAGTGTCTGAAATACGTGACTATATAGGGAATTCCTTAGCACGACGAGGAGGGTTTGTCAGGATTAAATACATGTTCGTGTTTTCGGAGAACGCAACAGTCGACGAGCCGCAGATCCATGTGTATGGATCATCTATGAATGCTATGTATGGTTTCCGTTTACGACCTCGTCCGCGGAAAAGCCTGTATGTCACAAGATACGGACGTGTGGTCAGACCTTGTGTTTAAGTGAAAAGGAGACTCCCTCATGATGACTAAAGTTGACACCGGCGTTGTGGCATTTGAACTAGCACTGCAGACTTGTGAAGGTGACGTTCTATAAGTGTTTCGGATTCATCCGAATCATCAATCAGATACATGCGGGTGCACCCAACGTTGAACGCGATGCATGAAGGTTTCCCCAAGGTCGATCCTTGGCCGAACAACAACCCGTCAGATTCGGTCTGTGCGACTCGCTAACAGCACACCATTGAGTTTATTTTCTTGCACGCCTTCGAGGCAAACGAGGCTTCCAAACAGTCCACCACTCTCTAGATCGTCTGGCACTGCCATGTTTTGTAATTGTCCGCGATGATTTTCAGATACGACGCCATGAAATATGGTGCCGGTGTCCGTGGCCCTCTGTGCAACAGCCGCTGCATGGCAGAAAGTGACGTGAGCAACGCCGACCGAGGCTGCAATCATGTATGTCCAGCATGACATCTTGTGTCTCGGATTCATCCAAAGTCGCCGGCTGCACAAGCATTTGCATTTTCATCCCCGAAAAAGTCGTTTGTTTTCCTAGACACCTGCTGAAAGAAACTCCTCTTTCCGTCAATACGCTGCATACGGGCCGATGATCAGCAGCCGCGCACAATACATAGCACGTCCCCATTGCAAAATCGTCGGGTCATTTTTTCGCGGCGGCGAAGGCTCTCGTGATCACCCCCAGCGACG